ATTGGTTGTTTGTGCTGACGAGCCAGTCAATGTCACTCTTCTCTGTTATGGGGGCGGGACGAGTGGTAAGGTTTGTGTGAATCTGTGGGAGCGGACACAGAAGCTAAGTCCGAAGAGAGAGATGTCGTAAGGCAAACGTGGTGTGGATTTTACATCTAAGAGTATCATTGAGGTCGACTAACGGTGGTCCTGATATTACTTATTTGTGATCTGCAAGAGGTAAATGAGTCTGTGTGCCTTGACATTTGTACTGTAACTATTCGTTGTAGTGGTAAAATGGAGTGATATGTGATGCTAACTAGCGGCTTGCTAATTAGCGCAGGTAGGCTAATTAGCGCAGCTTTAATATGTTTAGAAGCCAAGGGACGCTCTGAAAGGAGAGGGAGAGAGAGGTTTCAGGACCTTGCTGTTTTCTCGCCCCTGACTGTCTTCACTACTGGTGAACTAACTGCCCATTTCTGATTGCCCCACTAACAAACTCATTGGACTCGTGAGTACTAACTGGAACTAAAGTGCACGTATTTTGTTTATTGCTCAGCTTGAGTGAAGCGGCCAACAGTTTTAGGCCTCACCGCACCCGAACTTCGAATGAGGCCTGCAACAAGCACTGTGCTACCAGTGTAGTGTGGACAGGTTAAGGTGTGTGTGTGTTTAATTTGTATAAAATACAGTTGTGGTGGTCCTTATTAAAGCAATTAGAGGGTATCAGGTATCATTATTAGTAGCACTACGAACCCAGGCCCAGTCTCATTGTACTATATACTCTAGCTTTACCATAGCTACGTGGGACCTGGGTTACATCTGACCCTGAAGCAGATACTAAAAGGTGTAATTATATCTTTACCCATTTGATTGGAGCATAACTGGCTTAAATCTTTGGTTTCTATAAGCTTTAAATACTTAAATTCATGCAGTGTGTGATTTTGCGAAACTTTCTGCAGTCATTGAGAAGTTGTAGGGCGTTGTATTGGAAAAATAAAATGTGTGACGAACACCTCTCTTCATTTCCTTTCATATGATGTAGCACTTGATTACTTACTCCCTCCCTTTTGGGGAAAGAGTAATCTGGCCTTTAGCAGGTCTTTAAAATAAGCAAATACAATCTGACATGAAAACAGCGTGACATATTGTCGTTAGTTGTTTTTCTTTATTATGCCAATATGCAGAAGCAGTGTGTAAAAAAACAAAACAAAAAAAAAACATGCTTACTGATGTATTATTGTAGGTTCTTTACATTACAGCATACAATGCCTTGATGCAATTTTGGTTGTCTTTTGGAACTATATAAATAACATTTTCTTGAATTGACAAAATGCTGCTAAATATATTTATTTATATAAAAACAGACAAAGCAACGACACCTCAAACTGCTTTTTATTACAAGATTGCAACCCTACAATAAAACAGAGAAAAATCACCAACAAATAGATGGCAGCCTGTTAGCAACCACCTGGTGACACTGGGAAGGAAGAACTCCCTTTAAACAAAACCTCCAGCAGACT